CTGCGATGATTATATTGGTTAAATAATAAAAGTAAAAAAAAAAAAAAAAAAAAATAATTTTTATTGGTGTACTACCACCTTAAACTATGAAAAAGAATTCTTTTAAACATGGAATTCAAAAAGTAATAATTCACCCTGAACACTTTAAAAAAAAACATTAATAAATAGCTGTTCAACACAATTACTTTATATTCGTTTAAAATTGTATCTTGCATTTAGCGGTTCTTTATCAAAAAAGTCATATGAAAATCAAACTAAATTTTTATTTAACGGTTACTTATTACTGTTTTAATGATAGCATGTTTGAAATACAAACATAAAAATGGAGGAAGAATAGGTTATTTATGTTTGCGTTATTTATGATTAATTTAATAATATCAAAGGACTTTTTAATTTCATTATTAACCACACAAGTAGTTTAAATTATCCGAAGAAATATGTGAAAAGGGGATAAAAAAATGGTTTGACTTGAGCTGAAATTTATAATTATTATTCTTTAGGCAATTTCAAGGGACCAAAGCAAGCAGTTCAAGATAACAAAAGTTCGAGTTAAACGGTGTTCGACCTACCGGGAATTAACTGTATGAGAAGTTATGAGAAAAATTTGATGATAGCAATCATCAAATTATAGAATATATTTTTACCCTGATACATTTGACATATCAAATATGTTAAAAATTTGTTAAAATAAAAAAATGTTATAAGTTAAACTTTTTATGCGTTGTTTTCTTTATAAATTGGTATTCGATATTCAACCAAATAGTTCTCAATCTTCGGCCGAATACCGAATTGTGAAAAAAAAAGAGACCGAATACCGAACACCGAATAGTCGCCGAATATTTGTTGCATCTCTAATAGTTTTTTTTTATTACTTTTCATATAATCCGAATTAAAATTATAAAAAAACGTTTACATAAAAAAAAGTTATAAGTCGGGGCTCAAAAAAGATATTGATGACTACAGTCACCACAATCTTTTCATAGACTGTAATGTCATATAAAAATCATAGAACTATATAAGATTTACAAGTTGAAATAAAATAATAGTGAAAAAAAAATACTATATTCATTTCCGTTCTAATATAAAGCCTTCATAAGATGTAAATAAAAAACAAGTAAGAAATGTATAGTATATAGAGATAAGAGCTTTCATAAGATGTACAATTTAATATAACTTTTCAAAATAATATATAGTATATATTCGTGTGATGTAGAACTTTCATAAAATGTACCATATATAAAAAATAAAAAGATTTCACAACCATAATGCTATATCTACGATAAGTAGATATCTCCTTAATGATCTACTTATCGTAAATATAGCATTAAGGATAGTTATATAGTTCTTGAAGTTTATTAGTTCTGACAGTTTTACAAATATCTATTACAGTTTTAGTCAATAAATTCATTAAATAACTTCTGAATTGTACACACTTGTTAAAAAATGAAGTCGAAAGATTATTTTTTATATTTTGAAGTATTCTGCTCTTTTGTAATCTTCTGGTGGTGACAGGGTTATGACAGGGACAGGGTTATGACAGGGACAGGGTGGTGGATCATGACAGGGACAGGGTGAATATTTTATTATTTGAAACAAAAAATTAAATTTTTTATGAGTTTTATCATAGCGCAATTTTTTTCTTTCTAGTTTAGAATGTAGTTTATCAATAATAGCATTATATGTATTAATCCTTAAAGAGTCTTGAATATCATTTTTTTTTCTTCTCTTTTTACATCTGCAGTTAATTTTTTTTTTTGGCGTATTTTCTGATATGTTTTGTATTCCAATTTATTAATTGCTCTTTCTCTTCATAGATGTTAATCTCAGATCTAATACATATCGAATTGACAATTTGTATGAACTTACAAATGTTTCACAACCAATCTTAACTGACTACAATTGTTTGCTATTTTTCTTGAATCTTTTTAGAGTATCACCTCTTAATGGGACCATTATAATCGTTTCGAGATTCATTAAAGTCTTAAGCTTCTGATCTTGTGATTAACTTTTGTGAGTTATTTAATTTATTTCAGTTTTTGTTTAAACAAATTTTTGAATCAGATCTGGTTGACCACCTGGAATCTTTGCATTTGCTGACCACCTTATAGTTTTTAATACATTTTCTGTTTTTATTAAATTGTTCTGAAGTATTTCTCATCAATATCTAAAAGTACTGAAAAGGTTATAGATATTTTGAAGCAAAATAAAAAAGTTCTAAAGCATTTCTACAACAGTCTACAGCACATGCACCATCATGATTTATAGAGTGTGTCAAGCATAGTACAAATGTAGCTAAAGGATTAACTTCTTTAATGCCAGCTTTAAGCCCTGTATGCTTACCAGACATGTTAGACACATTGTAATCGTAACCACGACTATTTTTTTTATCGAATCCATGCAATTCTAAAACAAAAATTATAGCATCTTCTAATTCTTCAGATTTATGTCCAGAGTTAAAAAGATTTAAAAGGTTAAAACCTTTAAAATCTTTTTAGCGGGCAGCCATTCTTTTGCACATACCGAAAAATAACCGTGTAGATTAACCCAGTTAATCTACATGAAGAGCTTCGATTTAACAATTCGTGATACTAAAGAGGAAATTGATAAAGAAAAGGCAACGAAACCATAACTTTTTTCTTATCAATGATATCGATTTCGATTTCGCAAATGTGGAACCTACAGAACCTAAAAAAACAAGAACTGAATCGCAAGTAGGTAATATCAAAGTACAATTTGCTTAAAAATATTTATTTCAAATTCTGATTAAATAAAAAGAGAGAATATAAACAATTTTTTTACTAATGCACGAGCATAAGTAAAATTATTATTATTTTGAAGTAAATGTGCTAAAAATCTTTATATTAATTTAGTTGCTGAAAGTGTAATTGCTAAGACGGAAGTTTTTTTCCCAAATAAAAATGATGGTAAAATTTAAAAAACATATTAAAGAGGACACTAGACAAGCAACTATTGTCAAGATAAATAATTCTTGACACCATATTGCCGAGATAAATATTACTTGGGCTTTTAAGACAATTTTAAAGGAGACGTCTGAAGCCCCTGCAAATAAGTTGCTAAAATAATTTCAGAGGAAATGGATTACATAATTTTACCAAAAAGTTTCAGCCAATTCTCTGTTGAAAAGTTCAAACGCGTTCCTCAGCAAGACCTTAATGTTGGCAGTGATCTCTCCAAACCCTGTTTAAAGTCTAAAAAGTTTGTAACTAAAGCACTAAAACATTTTCTTCCACAGGTATGTAACAATAATATAAAATTAACTAGTGTTTCCATACTTTTTTTTTAAAGGATCTTAAACAAAAATAAAAATATTTTAGAAATAAATATAGGCATCTTGTTGAATATTTGGCGTATTACTTGAACGTTAAATTTGAGAAATTAAATAATTTTTACATCAATCAGCCTGGCGCCTTTTTTAAAATTTAAAAAAACAAGTAATCAAAAAACATATATTGCTATATTTTAAGTATAATATATTTACTATATTACTTTAAATATAATAATATTTAAAGTATAATATATTACCATTTATTATACTTTAAATATGAGGTCCCGACTAAATATGAGGCCCCTTGAACTTTTGTTCCTCCCATTTTTATATAGCTATAATATCATGCTATATAGCTATAATGCTGTGTTTAAAATTCACCTTCATTTGTATCAACAGCAAAAGAACGATTTATTAATAACGAAGTTCAAGTATCATTTGATATTATTAATTTATACCCATTAGTGCCACTTGATAACGCAACTGTTACAATTAAAGGTATGCTGACCAAAGATAGAGATAATCTAATAAAACGAACTAAATTATCTTTAGCAGACATTCATAAACTAATTAATCGCTATATAGTAAGTGTTATTTTTTATGGAAAGACAAAAAAGATATTTAAAAAAACTCTGGTCCAATAGGTTGATCCATAATAGTCGTCATGTCAGAAGCATATCTACAACATATTGAATCTAATGTTATTCAACAGGCTTCGAACATCAGTATTGCACTAAAAACTTGTTAACGTTACGTCAACGATAACCATCCTCGTTTTACTAATATTTACTTTATTTTAGATTTATTAAATTTTTTTTTTTTTTTTTTTTTTTTTCATCGTAATCATCTTGGAATATTTTTTTCAAGAATGTCCTTGAAGATAGTTCTCTGCTCTTTTAAGTTCCAGTACTCAACTGCATATTTTAGAGATTGAAGATTGTTTAGAACATAACATTCAAAATAAAATTAATTTTCTTATTAAGATTTTTACTGAAAATGGACATTCCTATAAACAGTATTTTGATATTGCTAAAAATTTTAATACTCCACAAATACATCTTGTTCTTAAAAAAAATGATACCAAAAATCTTGTTTTTTACAATCGATCCCAAAATTATACACGGCTGTTTCACTCAATATAAAAACGAGCGTGACGTCATGAGTTTATCAAAAAAAAAAGTATTTCCGCATAAAAAGTATAAAAATTCACAAACTTTAAATTAATAGTAACTTTTTTATATAAATGCTTTCATCTTGCATTTAAAAAAATATAAAAGATCTATCTTTCCTTGTTAAATAAATATTTACATTAATTGGTATAAAAATAAATATTGCCAAAATATTTTTAATAATTTAGAACCACTTTTCTAATTTTCGCATATTTTCCGCAAAACATGAGTTGGGCCAACTAAGATTTCATAACATAGCTCAGTGCTTGATAGTTGAAATTTGGAATGCTTAATCCTAAATGCCCATTCTATCAGATTCCTGCGTCATCCTAGAGATTTTTTTACAAAAAGACTGTTTTTAAAGCATTTATATTTTTTAATTAATCGTTTTTAAATGCAAAACATAAATTTTTTGATGGATGACGTAAGTTAATAAAATTTCAACCTTTTATGCAAATGAAAATAAAAAAATTATTTTACTTGCCTTCAGCTATGTTATGAAATATGTTTTCAAAAATGTCATGTTTTACAACTAATCTTGTTAGTTTTAGGCGTACATTTGTGTTGACGTTTTTTTTGCGATGACGTAACCTTTATGCGTTACGTCCCAAACTATTTATTAACGAATATTCTCCCAACAACTGTTTCGGCGAGTCAATTTTTGAAGTATAAAGTAAACAAAGTTACGCGGAATTTTTCTCTTTGGATTATCAAACTAATATCAGATAAGTTGTTAAATCCACTTTTATCTTGTGCATATATTTGTTAATTAATATTATTTTATTTGTTTTTATTATATTGATTAATAAGTCAATATTATTTTAATAACTATGTATTCAACTGAGAGGGAAATTCTAAAACAACATATTGGATGGAAAAATGGTTGGGAAGATAGGTGTAACTTTCCTTTTGTTAAGCGATTAATTAGGACAGATAAGATCAGTAACAATGTCATTTCCATTTTAATGACAGTCTTTAAAATAAGAAGTGATTTATTTAGTTTTATGAGTTTTCTTTTGCCAATTAATTTTGATATGCCTAGTAATGACGAGTTTGATAAAATGTGCCTAAAGTTAACACGACAAAAAAAGAAATATAAAAAAAATTTTAAAGCTATAAAAAACGAAGAATTTTTTAAAATGCAACTGTCGCAAGCTCCACCCAAAAAAAAAAAATCAGCAGATGCAGATGACTTTTTCACTTTAAATAACAGTCAGGAGCTACTGAATCAAATTGATCAATTAACTTCTGAAAATAAAACAAATATGGAGCAAATAGAAAAATTTAAAATGCAAGTATTTAAGTTGGAAGCTGAAATTACAGATTTAAATTCTAAAAATAGGGCTCTCAACACACATTGTAACTCATTAAGTTCTCAATTAGAGACTATGAGTGTTAGGCTAAAACAGGAGGAGCAGTTCCAACTTTAAAAAAAAAAAAATTAAAACAGCACAGCGTAAATTTGCATCTGCTCGTGCCAAAAATGTAAGATTGCTAAAAAAAATTATTTTTAAAAAAAGAATTGCAAAAATTAGTGATTTAAGCCAGAACAGTTGCCAAATTTGCAAATGTTTTGCTAGTTGCAATAAGGATTTAGTTGTGGTTGATTCTTATTTAGACTACGACAACATTGGTTCCTCTGAATTATTTTGTGGGTTTAAATTAAGTAATCCACAGAATATATCAGTTAAAAAGCCAATAGTTAGTAAAAAATATACTTACATTAAGTTAGGAAATGGTAAACCTTATTCTAAGTTAGGTAGGCATGCTGCAGCTAAACGATCTAAACTTGCTTTTATATTCCTTCGATTATTAGCTTGTTCAGATTTAGAAAGTGATTTGTCTATGTTGTTTTGTGATTCTATGTCTTGTGAAAAGTCAGTATTTTGTTGTGTTGCAAATAAGTTGGGTTTAGTTAAGCAGTTAAGTGTTTCTGATGCTGTAGAGCTACAGAGCCAATTAAGGATGCCCACGGCTGAATTCCGTAGACTAAGACGTATTCTGTGTAATCTTGGTGCAAGGATTCTCCCATCTGAGCCCAAAATGAGACAAGAACAAGAAATGCGGACAATGCATGTCAATAAAGAACATGTCACTGTGAAGTCCATGTTACTTTATCCATCTGCGAATGAAGCACCTTGTTTAGTATCTGTACTGATGGTCAAGAATTTGACAACTTATATTGAAGAGGTTTTTACTAATCTTTATGTACGCGACCACCTTAATTCGGATGTCGGTTTTGGCGAAGAAGTATGGCTCCTTTTTGCTGGTGATAAGGGTGGGAAATATATGAAATTCCATTTTGAAGTTGTCAATTCTAAATCATCAGGGTCTGTATACGATGTTCACTTGTTTTGTATGTATCAGGGTTCAGACTGTCGTGAGAATATAGCCTTAGTTCTCGGGCATTTTGCCAACGACATTAAAAGAATTCAGTCGTCAGATTTTAAGCTAAAAGGCAAAATAGTCAGGTTGTTCTTAGGTGGAGATTTTCATTTTATCGATGATGTTCTGGGACACCAGGGTTCAGCTGCTAGCTTTCCTAGTTCTACAGACCTAGTTAAGTTGAATTCTCTAAGAAACCATGCTTCTATGCCTCACACACCTGCTAATTGTAACATCTTAAGGAGGACAATACAATCTCTGGAAAGTGCTTACAATGAGAACTTGTGTGAAAATAGACAAGGTGGAAACCTAAGAACTTTAGGTAAGTTTCATAATTCAATTATTGCTCCTGTGATTTTCCCCATAACAACTTTAATAATGTAGTGCCACCTGTTTTGCATATTATGTTAGGAGTTGTGTTAAAACTGTATAGGTTATTGTTGAAGGAGTGTAAGACTTTAGATTGTCAAGCTGTTTCGTCTTTGTCGCATAATGAAAATGTGAGAACGAATGAATTGTGGGCTGCTAAAAGCGTTGAATGTTCTAAAACAGCAGAAGCTTTACGTTTATTAGGAAATCAATTTGTAGACGTTGCAAATCTACAGGCGCGTTGGTTAGTTTTTAATAAAAATATTTCTGAATTATCTCTAAACTCCTCCAATAAAAAACTAACCTTTAAACAGCAAGAAATGTGTGATAGTATTAGGTGTTTAATTACAAAATACGATTGTAACATTGATTGGGTGCAGTGTGGTACGTGCCAAAAATTGTTTCATCAATTTTGTGAAATTATTGGTGATTCGGAAAAGAGTGTATTGTGTGACATTGAGAAGTATGAGTGTTTAGCATGTCAGGGTGAAGATATAGAATGTCTTGACCTTTATATTTCTGAAAAAATTTCTTTTATACGTGCACAACGCGAAGTTTTAGACACTGAATATATTAAATTGCAGGTGGAGTGTGAAGACCTAGAAAAAATATCCAAAAGTAGCATGGGGACTCATGAGAGGTCTCTTAATAAGGCCCTTGAAGATATGAAGGTTGAGCGACAAGCGTACCACGGTAATGTGTTCGTAGGTAATCATTGTAAAATAGTATTAAGAAACCACTATAAACTTTGTAGTGTTATTGATGATGAAGCAATTAAAAATAGATTTGTACGTGTGTTTAGTGTTTTTAATAACTTGCAACCTATTCTTTTTAAGCGAAAATTTCTTTCTGATGCCGAAATTTCTGAGCTTCATCAATATATAAATTTATTTGCTATTGAGTTTCATGCTTGCTTTCCAAAAGAAAGTATCACGCGAAAAATGCATGAACTCATTTTTAATGTGCCACTATTTGTAAAATTGCATAAAACTATTGGGTTGCTGAGTGAAGAGGAGGGAGAGTGTTTGCATAATAGCGTAAATAAGGAATTAAGACAGTTGCATTCAGTAAGAAATCAGGAGCAAAAGCTGCATCTTGTTTTAAAACGCTTTGAATTGCACAGGAAAGCTGATAGGAAGCTTCAAGCCTCTAAGGTGAGAAAGTGTGTTGTGTGTTCTGAGCGTGGCGAAAATTCATTTTATAGACAAGGTCTTTGTCTTGTTTGTGGTCATCAAATTTAGTTAAAATATTTAAAAAATTAAAAACAACAACAACAAAAAAAAATTAAAAAGTAAGATAAATTATATGAGATCTTTAATTTGTATATAAGATAATTTTATTTTGTTCTAATATCTGTGTGATGTTAGTTTAAAATATTATTTTTTAATATATTGATTTTATATATTAGGTAGGTGCCCATTCTGTTCCTAGCTTCAGAAGTTATTTATACCTATGCAATACCTTCGCTCAGGTTAAAGAATGGAATAATAGTCTTGCATCAAATGTATGTAAAAATCTAGCTTTTATATATTAACTTGTGATCAGAGCAACTAGTATGTTGGTTGGGTATGATCTGTTATGTTTGTGTATTTAATTTAAAAGATGTATTGTTCTTCATTATATGTAACATTTTTTTATAGATATATTACATATCCATTCGATGTTTATCACCAGAAGTTAGTTCTACCTTTGCAGTACCTCTGCTTTACATACCTCCTCGCTGGTTAAAGAATGGAATATAAATCTCATATCAAGTTGGTGTAAAAATTTAGTTCAATAAATTAAGAATTTATAAACGTTCTCAAAATTTTGAGTGGAGCAATTGTTTTTCTGGTTTAGCATGAGTATGAATCTGATATCAATTGTATGTACAAAGATAGTTTACTTCTTAAAGAACCTATCAGTAAACCAACTGATTATAAAACAGTTTTTAATGGGAATAAAAACAAATTTTCAAAAGATTTCAATTAGCTATTTGTATATTCAAACACTTTATTTACTGAGAGAAGAGACTATAGATTCAAGTGCTATAAAATAATTCTACTACCAAAAGCGAGGTTAATTCAAAAACTGAAACTCAAATTTGGTCATGAATTATTTTATTAGACTTGGTGAGTCTTTATTTATTAACAACTTAACACCATATTATTAGAACTGTATGCACAGAAAAAAATAAATGCTTTAGCTTTAAATGTTTTGACTAAATATTCCAAAATCGAAATCTGGCTTTTTATTGCAATGCAATGAACTTATTGGCTTAGGATAATAAGTTTCTAAAACAAGAACTTCTAGGTTTAAAAATGTACTCTTTTAACAGCTAATCCCCCTTTTAACTACATTTTTCATAACTTTGCGAAAAGTGCGGTTTGCTTTCAGACCTCATTAAAGTCTGTTTTAGCTATCCTTAAACAATTAAGTAAGGTTTTTTTGTTTTTATAATAGTCAAACAATGGGTATATTTGAGATTAACTATCAGAAATAAATTTTTCTGATTTTTTTTTGATAAAAAGTAACATCAAATTACTTGAATTCAGCCAACGTCATCATTTGTCGCGTTTTTTTTTAAACTTAAAGAAATTTTTTTACTAATGCATTAAATGTCATAAGATGAAACATTTTATTGGTGTTATTCTTTTTACAAAACAAAATTATCTTGATTATTTTAAAAGTTATTGAAGTTTTAGTAACACCCTTTTAGTCAATATTTTCAAAAAATAACAAGAAGCCGTTAAGCTCGGTTTGAAACAGCCGTGTATACCTTGTTCTAAGAAGAGAATTTTGTAAAGTTGGTGTATATATGCATAATATATATATATATATATATATATATATATATATATATATATATATATACATATACATATATATATAT